GGCTCCACGCAGCCGCCTCCTCCCACTCACTAAGGGGTTAACCTCCGCCCACACGCGTCAGTTCCGGGAGCTGGGAAGTACAGGAAGCCCAGACTGCGCCTGCGCCAAGCGCGGCTCCGCTCCCGGCAGCCGTGACTGCCCCCGCCCGCAGGAACTACCCGATGTCTTGTACGCAACCCGCACCTGGAAACGGGCGTGCACGTTCCGTGCCAGAAATACTGTAAGAGCCGTTTGTGCGGCTTCGTGGCGCGGGAAAAGCCGGGGCTCCAGGAGCACGGCGCTGCCTTGCTGCAAGAAGAGTGCAGGTGTGTAACATAGTTTGTTGGCAGACACCCGCTGGCTCTGCTGGCAGATATCGCCTCTTCTACCCGTTGTGATTCCTTTGCAAGCAATAATCATTTTTTCTGGCACCTGCCTCAGACGAGGCGCGCGGGCCACGAGCGAACGCAGCCCCGTTACACGGATGTCACCGATGGCTGTGAAAGAAAATGCTCCCGCATCCCCCACAGTGCCCTTCCCGCCTGGGGACACGGTCGCGGCGCATCGCAGGACAAGACATCCTGAATAATTTGTTTCCCAGAAAAACCGTCACCCAATAAACACAAGGGACATCAACTGGAAATAAATATTTTGTTTTATTAACACTCAAAGTGCCATTATCTGCCGTTGTTCCATAGTTCGTTAGGTTACGTCCCCTAAACCTCTGCCCCGGGACCTTTCCAAAATGAATGGACGTGGAAGAAAAAGCAATCTTCCCTCGTGCTAATTCTTGCAGGTCTTCATGCGCTAGCAGCCGCAACGAAGATGCGTCCCCACAATATACAGATCTCAGATAAACAAAGTCATTGGTCAAACACAAAATAGAAACGTGGCTTCTTTGACATGAGGTACAAAAAACCTCAAACAAAATAAAAGCCATTTACCAGCAAGAAAATAAAATGGGTAAATACATAGGAATTAAAATAAAAAGGTTTTATACATTTTTACAAGCACAATTTTGAGAATGTAACCAAGTCAAAATGTGCATGAAACGTGGAAGAAACCGCACCGTACCAGGCAGTTGGGAGATCCTTTGTCTGATGGATTTATCCGCTCTTTTCCTAAACTTCATACAGTTCACTGTATACCCAGAGCATGAGGAATTTTCCTCAGTACCATTTTCAACATTATATAGGATTTTTATTTTTAAGCAACAAAACTGTTACCAAATTAACATTCAAAAGGTTGCTTGGTATTCTGCTAGGCGAGAGGTAAGCCACATCGTTAAAGCATGTTCTGAACGTGCCACGTGCCCGTCAGCAGCGATATGGTCACACCTTTCATCTTTCCCAAGACCAGAAAGCTAGAAAGGGTGAGGGTAGGTAGAATAAAAAGAAATTCAACGTTAAAGGGAACCTGAAGGACAGGAGATAGAAAAAGGTTGACTTTTCCAAAGCTGATTTTTGTTTCCCTACAATTTAAGCAGCTCTCAGAATTCAAAGATTGCTTTCACCTTTGCAGAACAGTGTCTTTTCTCTGTCGCACTAACACTTTAGCACTCTTTTTTTTTTTTTTTTTT